TGCTTGGCCTGCTGTGTTCATCCAGCTCTACACCTTGTTATCTCAGAATACTTGAGCAGAACACTCAAACATAGCCAAGAACACCAAGAAAGTAATGAGGTGCAAAGAGGGAATTTAGGAGCAAAATGCTAGGCTATCAAAGCCGACAGTTAAAATGTACTGCAAATATATCGAGGAAGAAAGAGTCTCAAGCAGTAATGTTGGCCCTTTAAAGTTCAGAACTCCTCCTTTGCCCCATTTAAAGCCAGATACATGTGATATTGTATAAAAACCGAAAGAACTGCGGATGCTGTAAGTCAGGAACAAAAACAGAAGTTGCTGGAAGCTCAGCAGGTCTGGCAGCATCTGTGAAGAAAAAATCGATCCTGCTTGACTTCTCCTCCCACCTTTCCCCTCCTGGCAATGAGGTGGGGCTTTAATATCAGGATCCTGAGTGACCTATTTAAAAAGCTGCTGTGTTTTCCCAACACACTGAAAATCTGCAACTGAAGAATGGGACTCATGCATGTTCTCCCCTTGCCCGCTTCCATCAGTAGTGAGGAGGGACCCATGGCACATGGAGAGGTTGCTGGATCGGCCATTGTCTGCTCAGTGTTAGGAGAAGCCCTCTTTATCAAGTACCCTTTGTCCCATGGATGCTCCCACCAGTGGAAAGGGTCATGTCTGCTGAATTACTCCTCCACACTTTCCATTATCGGGATTTCCACCCTTCAACCTCACATCCACCAACTCACCAGGGCCTATCTGACAGGCTACAGTGAATCTCGCCCACTTATCTCTCTTTTGGGGCTTCCATTATTGCCATTGCTGTCAACCTCCTACAGACCCACCAGTGGCCTTACCTCCCACTGGCACTACTGAGATGGGACAGCAGCCAGCCATCTGATTATCTGACAGCTATTGTGGGCAAGACCTTTGACTTGAAAGGCATAGGAACCTTTAAACAGCCCGCTATTACTCTTGGAAATGGCTGTCCTGGGTAGTCACTGGCTTTCTGTCTGGTGGATGGGACCTCAGTTGAGAGGAGACAGTTGGAGCAGAGAGTTTCTCTGAATGTTGGAATGCTAGGAAGGAAATTTGTATAGAGCTATAATCAGACCACATGCGAATACTGGGTATCACACTTCAAGATACGTTGGCCTTTGGTTGTACTAAAGAATCACCAGAATAGTACTGGGTTCAAAGGGATAACTCATGTCTGCATATGAGTTTAGAAGATTGAGAGAATCTAATTATAGTCCTATTAAGAAAGAAAATGTATAGGCCAGATCCAGAGAAACCACTAACTCTGGTAGGAGAAGCCCAAACTTGAAGACTAAGGTTAAGATTTGAGCCAGGCTATTTTAAATTAAGAAGTGCTTTCCCTCCCAGCTAGCTGTGGAAATCTGGCAAACCAACCCCACACCAAAAAGTTACTGCTTCATTTGAAATTTACAAGGCTGAGATTGACAGATCATTGTTGGTGAAGATAGCAAGGGATGTGAATCAAAGGCAGGTGAATGATGTTGAAATACAGATGTGCTGTGGACTGACACAACAGGCTTGAGGGATTGAATATATTACTTCAAAGTGTGTAGCGGTAACGGTAACCTGAAAAGGAGGCCATTCCACTGGTTTCTTGGTACGGTTTATATTGGCATAAGCCATGGAAGCCCCTGCTGTTGTGCTATTCACTAGTTAACCAGCTGTACATAGAGTGCGTATGAAACTAGCTCACATTGCATTTTATGATATCTCAGATAATGTTCCATGGGAAATTAGTGTTGGTTAGACATAGTACAAGATTGGAACTCACTTACAAGTAGTTATGTAAACGATCTATTTCTCAAAGCCATCACTTCCTGAATTGCTTAGATAGTATAAGGCACAGAGGTGAGATTTTGACACTTTTTCCTTCTGAATGTCACTTCTGTTAACACAGCATAAACACTTCAGGCCTGTGTTGTGGAGCAACAGTATTGTATAAAAACCTTTACGTCCCTCGCTTTTGCTTCCAACCAGTCATCACCAAGACATTAGTTTTCAAATAATTGAGATGAGAGTAATTTTATTACAGTGTGTATTCACCATTGACATGTCTGTTTCAACGGCTTGGACTTAGTAGTGGGACTGAAAAACCTGTTAGTGTTCATTAGTGTTACTCCATTGAAACTTCTGAAGTACATTCATAAACAGTTTAATGTGGAAATCCAGATTTTGCTGTCAGTGATTATATGTTTCCCCAGATAGTACACAGTTATGCTTTCGCCCAGACTGTAGCCAATGGGAAATCATTTGAATTGTATAACAGTGTTGAGAAAGTGATTGTTGTGACCTTGTTAAATACAATGTGATGCCATGTACCAACCACTGGTGGTTGGGGTGGAGTGTGGCCACCGATCCTCCCTCCTATGGTAGTGTCAGGGGCTCTTCTGTAGTTTGTGGTGGAGGATGGACCATGACTGGGCCTCAACAGAAGATACTCTCGTCTCTGATAACAGATGATAGACTATTACTTCTTAGCACTATATACAGGTTACATTTATTGTAAGGCATGTTAATAATTACTAACAAGAGGTTGGTAAGATACAAGTAACTACATGAGGAGACTCTGCCTAACTGCTGCCCACATGAACTGACCCAACTGCCTGATCCTTCACCCAGTGGCTATTAAATATTAGAGCAGGGGGAATTTCAGCTTAGCTCATCATTAACTAATTCATATCCGTCACTTTATTGTTAAGGACCTTT